AATTGAGAAGTTTCTCTATTTTTATTTTTTAACTTTTTTATTGAAGTATAGCATACACACAGAAATGTACACACATGTGTAGTGTACAGCTTTACGGTTTTTCATAAACAACACACCAACATTACCAGTATCCAGGTAATAAAACACTACCAGCATCCTAGAATTCCCTCTCATAAACCTTTCCAGTTACTACCCCGTCCCCAAAAGGACGTTCACTATGGTAATTTCCATGATAGTTTCGTTTTGCCTAGCTTTGTACTAAATATAAGTAATATTAAATTACTTTATTATACCTGGGTCCTTATGCAAGATTCATCAGTATTGTTGCATGTGACTGTACATTGTTGATTCTCGCTACGTAGCACTTTAATGAATGAATACACCACAGTTTACTTATCCATCATACTGTATATGGGCATCTGGATAACTTCCACTTTGGGGCTATTATCAAAAGTGCTGCTATGAACATTCTAGTATAGATCTTTTGATGAACGTATGTACATATTATAGCTGGATACACTCCCATAAGTGGAATAGTTTGGTCTCCAGGTTCCCGGGAAATGGAATTGCTGGGTCTCTTTCCATCTCAGCGAAACTTCTAGGAGTCCAGTGAAATGAGACATATGCCTCTGAAGGTAAAGGATAAGTTGCTGCACTTGGCCCCTCCTGCAACCAAAAAAGAGGTACAATGCCTAGGGTCCCTTTTAGATTTGGAATCAATCTATTCCTCATTTCAGTGTAGTTCTCCAGCCCACTTACCAAGTGACCTAAAAAGCTGCTGGTTTTGAGAGGGTCTCAGAACAAGAGAAGGCTCTGCAACAGGTCCAGGCTACTGTGCAAGACGTTCTACTTCTACCATATGATCCAACCAATTGACCTGTACTTGAAGTGTCAGTGGCTGATAGAGATGCTGTTTACAGCCTGTTGCTGAATCAGGTCCTTAGGATTTTGGAGCAAAGCCCTACCATTCCCTGTGGATAACTACTCTCTCTTTTTGAGGAAGAATGTTTGGCCTATTACTGGGCCTTAGTAGAGACTGAATACGTAACTATGGGCCACCAAGCCATAACAGGAGCTGAGCTGCCCATCATGAATTGTGTGTTGTTTGGCACACCAAGCCATAAAGTCGGCTGTGAAGAACAGCACTCCATTATCAAAAGGAAATGGTACATATGAGATTGGGCTGAGCAGGCCCTGAAAGCATAAGTAAGTTATATGAGGAAGTAGCCCAAATGTCTGTGGCCTGCACTCCTGATATATTACCTTCTCTCCCCCAGCCTGCACTATGGCATTATGGGGAGTTCTCTACAATCATCTGACTGAGGAAAAGAAAAGTTAGGCTTGGTTTATAGATGGTTTTGCATGATATTCAGGTACCACCTGAAAGTAGACAGCTATAGTGCCTATAGCTCCTTCTTGGGGCAACCCTGAAGGACACTGGGATACCCTTCCAGTGGGACAGGACTTGGAACAGTACACCTCATTGTTCACTTTGTTAGAAGAAGTGAGGGACAGATGTACAATTATATTCATGGACTGTGGCCAGCAGTCGGCTGGATGGTCAGAGACTTGGAAGGGATGTGACTAGAAAATTGATGACAACGAAATTTAGGGGAGAGGTATGTGGACAGACTTCTCTGAATGGGTAAAAAACCATGAAGATGTCTGTCTCATGTAAATGCTCAACAGAGGGTGAAGTCAGTAGAGTAGAGGAGAATTTTAATAATCAAGTTGATGACTCATTCTGTGGATACCAGTTAGCCTTTTGCCCCAGCCACTCCTGTCACTGCCCAATGGTCACGATGGAGGTTATGCATGAGCTCAGCAACATGGACTTCTGCTCACCAGTCAGCCTGGCTACTGCCACTGCTGAGTATCCAATCTGTCAGCAGCAGAGACCAACATCTTGACCCCAATATGGCACCATTCCTTGGAGTGATCAATCAGCTACCTGGTGGCAGGATGATTACACTGGACCACTTCCATCATGGAAGGGGAAACATATTATTCTCACTGGAATAGATACCTACTCTGGATATCAATTTGCCTTCCCTGCATGCAATGCTTCTGCCAAAACCACCATCCAAGGACTTACAGAATGCCTTATCTACAATCGTGGTATCCCACACAGCCCTGCTTCTGATCAAGGAACTCACTTCACAGCAGAAGGCCCATGCTCATGGAATTCACAGGTCTGACTGTGTTCCCCACCGTCCTGAAGTAGCTGGCTTAATAGAATGGTGGAATGGCCTTTTGAAGACTCAGTTATAGCACCAGCTAAATGGCAATACCTTGCAGGACTGGGGCAAGGTTCTCCAGGAGGTTGTGTATGCTCTGGATCAGTATCTAATATACAGTACTGTTTATACCATAACAAAAATTCAAAGGTCCAAAAATTGAGGGGAAGGAAATGAAAGTGGGACCATTCAGTTTTACCCCTGGTGACCCACTAGCACAATTTTTGCTTCTTGTTCCCATGACTTTATGCTCTATTGGTCTAGAGGCTTAATTCCAAAGGGAAGAATGAATCTACCAGGAGATACAACAATAATTCCATTGAACTGGAAGAAAAGACTGCCACCTGGCCACTTCAGGCTCCTTGTGCCTCTGAGTCAACAAGCAAAGAAAGGAGTTACTGTACTGGTTGAGGTGATTGATCTTGACTACCACGGAAAAATTGGACCACTACTCCACAATGGAAGAGTATGTCTGGAATACAGGAGATCCCTTAGGGCATCCCTTAGTATTACCATGCCCCGTGATTAAGGTCAATGGAAAACTACAACAACCCAATCCAAGCAGGACTAGTCATGTCCCAGACCCTTCATAAATAAGGGTTTGTGTCACCCACCAGTTAAAGAACCATGACCAGGTGAGGTACTTATTGAGGGCAGAGGGAATATGGAATGGGTAGTAGAGAAAGGAAGTTATAAATACCAGTTATGACCACATGACTAATTAAGCAAATATCTTTGTTTTCTTCCCTCTCTTATGACCATGTCATCAAACATAAGGTGTATTAATAACAGTTAACTTCATATTACAGTACTTGAGCTACAGAATACCAAGGAGAAGAGTAAACCACCCAAGGACTTTGAGTCCTCTTCTGGGGAAAGAGCACATTTTTGGTTGTATGTAGGACAGTTGCATTATGTTAGGTAGAAGTATGACTTTGTTACTGTTTTTATTTGGAGATTAAATACAGTTTAAGGAGATGTGTATGAATGCATAGTTGACAAAGAGTGGATTCTGAGATGGTTAGTTGTATGTGTCAACTCAGCTAGGCCATATTACCCAATTATATTAAATACTAATCTTGGTGTTGCTGCAAACGTATTTTGTAGATGTGGTTAACATCTGTAATAACTGAATTCATTTATTTTTAATATGTTTTTATTGATTTCAGAGAAAGGAAGGGAGAGTGAGAGATAGAAACATCAATGATGAGAGTCACTGATCAGCTGCCTCCTGCACACCCCCTACTGGGGATTGAGCCCACAGCCCATGGATGTGTCCTGACCAGGAATAGAATCATATCCTCCTGGTTCATAGGTCTGCACTCAACCACTGAGCCACGCCAGCCAGTCAGTAATAACCAACTTTAAGTAAAGGAGATTATCCTTGATATTGTGGGTGGGCCTCATCCAAACAGTTGAAAAGCCTTAAGAACAAAACAGGTTTCTCTGAGGAAGAAGAAATTCCTCCTGAGGACTGCACCAACATCATCTCCTGCCCAAGAGTTTCCAGCCTGCCCTACAGTTTTTAGCCAGACCTTATAATTGCACTAAGTCAATTCTTTGAAGTGTGTATTTACATCCTACTAGTTCTAGGGTTTTTTGGTAGAACCCTGACTGATATGGCATCTACTTTTCCCTACCACTATGCTAATGTTACCAGAGATAGAAACAGAAGTCTATTATGTGGTCCCTGTCCTTGAAAACTTCATAATCTAAAGAATATAAAAAGTCAGCATTATAAATTATGTCAAGTAGTAGTAAATTATTAAGTGTCAAATGAGTAGAACTGAATTAAGTATTCAGGGAACTTAGAAAAGAAAAAGATCTCTGTGGATTTAGGGAGTGCTCAGGACAGGCTCTGCGGAAGAAATAGGGACCAGGATTAATGGGGACTGATATGCAATGAGGGAAATACAGAAAAATCTAAACATGGAGTTTAGATAGAAAGATTGAACTCCTTTCTACCACTTGGTAGAAATATGATCTTGGACAAATTGATACTACTATAAACCTCAGATTCTTTTTTTTTTTTTTTTTTAAATATATCTTTATTGATTTCAGAGAGAGGAAAGGAGAGGGAGAGAGAGATAGAAACATCAATGTGAGAGTCATTGATCAAGCCCACAACCCGGGCATGTGCCCTGACCAGGAATCGAACCCCGATCGCCTGGATCCTAGGTCGACGCTCAACCACTGAGCCACGCCTGGCAGAGCAAACCTCAGATTCTTAATATATAAAATGAGGATAACAGTACACATCCTGTCTATCATAAAGTCATAGTGAGAAGTGAGATATAATAAGGTGCTTAGTTCAATGCCTTTCACAGAAGAAGTGCTCAACCAATGTTAAGTAAATGCAAAAATATTTCGATATCTTTAAAAAAAAAAAAGCTACTAAAAATAAAATCAAACAATACTAAATTTCAAGTNAGAAGTGCTCAACCAATGTTAAGTAAATGCAAAAATATTTTGATATCTTTAAAAAAAAAAAGCTACTAAAAATAAAATCAAACAATACTAAATTTCAAGTAGTTATAAGAGGAATCATCTTAAATACATTTAAAGTTAATGGCATTAGCTAATTTTTCAAAAGATAAAGTTTAATGAGGTTCTGAAACCTGACCAAACTTATAATTTTACTAATTCTACTTGTGCAAGAATTCTCAGAATACAATTTATAACTGAATTTCCTGTGTATATAAAGAATTTACAATGACAACATGTTTTATAGCTTTTTAAAATTAGGCTCTGCATTCACACTACAGTACCTTGAGGAATATCTTTAGGAAGAGAGTATTTCTTCTTCTTTACAATAACACCTTTACTTTTCACTTGTCTAGTTCCTGGTGATGCTCTAATTATACAACATATTTCTGATGTATTTAAAGGAACCTGAAAAAGAAGAACAGACATTGCATAATTCTCCCAGGTTCTATATTTTTATGTTTTTTTATTTCAAAAGCAAATAGTTTTAATATCCATATTTCATAAAAATTAACAAAAAGCATTTATGAAATGCTTATCCACTCCAGATACTAATTGGTTTTAAAACATTTGCTTATTTAATACTCACAAGAACCAGGCAAGGCAGATTATATTATCCCCATTTGTAAAATGAGGAAACTTAGGTTCTGAGAGGTTGGATAACTTATTTAAGGACAGAAAGAAAGTAATGATAGAGTTGAGACTCAAGCACTCCAAAGTGGGAGAGAGGGTTTACATGACTTACAGAATTGAAACACAATTTATAGCCCTAGCCAGTTTGGCTCACTGGTTAGTGCATCAGCCCTCGGACCTCACGCCAAGGGCACTGTACCTTGGTTATAGGCTCCATCCCCAGCCCGGGTCTGGAAGCATGGGTGGGGGGAACCAATCGATGTGTCTCTCTCACACTGATGTTTCCCTCCCTCCCTCCCTTCCACTCTCTCTAAAAAGCAATGGGAAAAATGTCCTCAAGTGAGGGTTTAAAATAAAAACAAAAACAAAATTTATATTTCAGTCCAAGTCAAACACTAGATTTCCTAGATTTCCCAACTCACGTAATTTTGACAATTTCCTATCAAGCAGTCTCTAGAAAAAAAAAAATACCAGTGGTTGAGCATCTACCTAATGTCCAGGAGATCGAGGTTTGATTCCGGGTCAGGGCACATGCCCGGGTTGCGGGCTGCAGGCGATCAATGACTTTCTCATCATTGATGTTTCTATCTCTCTCTCTCCCTCTTCCTCCCTCTCTCTGAATCAATAAAGATATATTAAAAAACAAAAAAACAAAACAAAAAAAACACTCAAGAAATGGAACCATCTTACTCATNCCTCTTCCTCTCCCTCCCTTTCTCTGAAATCAATAAAAATATTTTTTTTAATAAATACCTTATCTCTCAGAAGCGACGTGTTTCTTAGAACACAAAAGTAGAGATATGTACTTATCAAGGGCTCCTCTCATTTAAAATAAAGGCTATATAGAAATTTCTTCTACTTTAAAATTCCATATCATCCTCGATGGTAGACGTTTGCAATTTTCCTGCCCAGCATTCATTTTCCATCCTTCTAGTACTTCTGGTTCTCTTGGGAAAACCTATTCATTCTATCAGCCTGCATATCACACCTTCCATATGGATCAAGTGGAGCTGATAATACTTCTGAGCCTGAAGATGGCCATAAGAACCAGCCTAGCCAATCAATGTACTTCATGCCCCTGGACACAGTGACTGACTCAGACGACGACACTATAAATGGACCAGCAGGAAGAAGAAAGTGCTGAACCTGAGATTCTTGCACTAAGCCAGAATCTTTAAAAGGGGCTAAAGTGGTCCCAGATTGATATCCAACCCTAGCTACAACTGTTATAGCAGAAACAGACATAAATACTCTTAGGATGATGGAATCCCCAATTTAGGTCCACAGTATTCTTATCAAATAAGAGCAAGAAAATAAATGATCAGGGTCAGGTGAGTGTCAGAGTTATCATTCAAGATTCGGCCTGAGCCTGACGGGGCGTGACTCAGCGGTTGAGCATCAACCTAGGATCCAGGCAATCAGGGTTCGATTCCCGGTCAGGGCACATGCCCAGGTTTCGGCCTCGATCCCCAGTTGGGGGTGTGCAGGAGGCAGCCAACCAGTGACTCTCACTGATGTTTCTATCTCTCTCTCTCTCCCTTCCTCTCTATGAAATCAATATAAAGATACATTAAAAAGAAAAGAAAAATAAACAACTAGAACTTCCTGANTTGATGTTTCTATCTCTCTCTCTCTCCCTTCCTCTCTATGAAATCAATAAAGATACATTAAAAAGAAAAGAAAAATAAACAACTAGAACTTCCTGAAATGAAAAATAAAATTGTTGAAGTAAAATTCTGATGGAATGTTTAAGCAGCAGAGTCAACACAACTGAAGAGACAATTACTGAAGAAATAACCCAGAACACAACAAATAAGTGAAAAATAGTAAAGAGAGGCTGAAAGATATAAAGGATAGGAAGAGGCCTAACAGGCTACTTACTATTCCAGAGAGAGAGGAAAGCAGATAATAGCTGAGAAATTTCCCAAACTGATGAGAGACATGAGTCCACAGATCCAGGAAGCCTAATAGTCCAAGCAAAATTAAAATAAAAAAGAATTGCAAACAAAAATACAAATCCATTTATATATACATTCTAGTGAAATTATAGCATACCCAAGATAAGGAGAATTATAAAAAAGCCAGAAAAAAGATATATCAGTACCCAAGACTACACTCAGGCTCAACAATTTGCTAGAAAGGCACAGGATTCAGAAAATCTGTTATACTCATAGTTATGGTTTATTACAGCAAAAGGATACAGGTTAAAATCAGCACAGGGAAAGGGTACAAACATACAGTCCATGAGAAAGGGCCTATAGAGCTGACTCCAGGAGGATAAGCTTTGAGTTATCCTCTCCTAGTTGAGTCACATGAACAGCAATTCATTCTCCCAAGTGCAAAGTGTTGCCAACCAGGGAAGCTCGATGACCCGACTCAGACCCCAGTCCCCCAAAGGTCAAAATGATACAAGGTGGCCCAAAGACTTAGGCATCAAAAACAGGTGTTTACTGTAAACCATACTGTTAGCATAAACTATTTGGGTGGCTCAGGACATAAAAGACATTATTATCAGGCAAAATACTCCAAGGTCATCTTCAGGAGCCTTGCCACAGGATAGTCCTGAAGACTGTGGGAATGTGCAGTCATGCTGAGTTGACCCTTTCCTGAATACACACATACAATTTACAAGAAAATGACAATGAGGCTAACAGGAGAGTTGCAACAGCAATATGGAAGTCAGAAGACAGTAAAATGGTAACATCAAAGAGCAGAGAGAAAAATAGATGTCAACATAGAAGTATATACCCAACAGATGCAACACTCCGCCCAAAAAAGCCAAAAACATTGAATAAAAGTCATGCTGACATCATAGCAAACTAGAAATATGGGTAAGTCCTCAACCTTGTAAAGGTTGTTGGTGGTACTGAGCATTGTTTCTCAAAGATTTTTGGGTTTTACTAGAAAAGATGCACTTCCTGACCCTGTGGTTCAATAAGGCGATATGACTATCTCTGGCCAATGAGTTGTGAGCAGATATATGTCACTGCTAAGCCAAAACATTAAATTACCAATGTAAGAAGACCTTCCAGAGCTTCATTTTTTCCAATTGTCATAGTTTCTAGCAATGTTTAAGATGGCTTCTCTGTCAACTATAATGTGCAATGGAGGTAAGTAGGTAATGAACCTTTATTTTTTTAGCTGCTAAAATTTTTCAAGTTGTTTGTTACCACATATTATCCTGCTTAGTACAAGTCATCTGTAAAGTAAGTTGCACAACCTTTAACCTTAACAGTGAAACTTTGAAAACAATTTCCCTTAAGATCCTAAATATAAAATATATTGTACTAGAGGTCTTATCTAGGACAATAACATACAATTCACAGGGAAGAAACAACACTATTATCCATACATGATATGACTGTCTACATAGAAAACCCAAAAGAATCTACAGACATATATTATCATTAATAAGATTTAGCTGGGTTTGGGCTATATACAAATATATACAAATCAATTATATTTTTATACTCCATCAACGTTAGAAAATGTAATTTATAAAAAGATATATATCTAACAAAAGAATGCAAGATCATTCTGGTTAAAATGATAAACTCTATTGAAAAATATCAGACAACATCTAAATAAATGAGGAGATATACCCTGTTCGTGAAATAAAAGATTTAGTAAAGATTTAGTTCTAAAAAAGAGGAGGAATGAATGACACAAAACTCAGGATAATGGTTACTTATGGGAGAGTGTGAATGGAATCATCATGGTGAGACTCACTATTTTTTGGGGGGACGGGGTATTTGTAATGTTCTACTTCACTTTTAGGATGGTGGGCACAAGGGCGTTCATCTGTTTTTTTCTTTAAACTATGCATACTCTCTTTTGTATGAATGCTATATTTATATAAAGGCAAAGCAGTATGATTCCCAGATCTACTCTCCCACATCTTGTAACTGCTGTTCCCCAACTCAAGTAAAAGACTGGAGGATTTGTCTATGAAAAGGGTTTGCTCTCCAGGGATTTCCAGCAGTTGAAAGGGGAGGTGTTCTGCTAAAATTAAGTGATGCTGAGACTCCATCCCAAAGAGGCCTATATTTTTCAGTCAAGAGCTTGTTGAGCAGCAGTAGCCTGGTCCCATGTGGGTATTGTACACTGACAGAGGGTGGGCAGCTGTGACCAGGGCAGGCCTGGGGCAGCGCCTTGCAACTCCCGGTCCCACTCACCTCCCTCTGTGCCATCACCATTGCAACCAGCACCAAGCAGACGCAGGAAGAGAAGCACTTGAAGATTCTGTGGGATATGACCAGCCTCCTATACAACAGAAAGTGCTTGATTGGGACCAGCGTGGCCCCACCTATGTGAATGTGCTATGGGCTCCTTTGTCTGTACTTCCTGCTCCAGAAGCCTGTCAGGGTTAAATCCACTACATAGGGTGAAACCTATCTCCATGACAACATTCACACAATAGGAAATTGAATTTCTGCAAAAACATGGAAATGAAGTCTGTAAGCAAATTTGGCTAGGATTATTCAATGATAGATCTTCAGAAATTCCAGACTTCAGGGATTCCCAAGAAGAGTTCCTACAACAAAAATATGAAAAGAAAAGATGGTATGTCTCACCAGAACAAGCCAAAGTGGTGGCATCAGTTCATGTATCTATTTCAGGGTCCTCTGCCAGAAGCACAAGCAACACACCTGAGGTCAAATCACCGAAATCTCTTATAGGAGATTCAGCACCAGCCCTGCACTTAAATAAGGGCACATCTAGTCAGTCCTGTGTTGTAGGTTGCTCTCAAGGACAACAGCAGGAAAAGCAGTGTG